TGTCCCCTAATTACTTTGGCCTGTCCTGTTCCCTAACCCATTAATATCGATTGTAAGGTATAGTGAATGTTTTAAAGTTCACTCAAGATCACCCCATCCACTTTACTGAGCTCCTTGCAGCCCAATTTATAACCAGTTTCAGTGGCCAGTTAAAGAACAACAAAGGGGGGGGTGCTATTCTTATGAATTGGGTCCCCATTCTGCTGCTTTGAACAAGAAACATGTCGAGTTTCAAAAATTTGCAATCATACCGTTGGATTTGCTGCAACTTGGAATGGCTTTCCATACGGAAATTAGACAAATTCATGGAAGATAAGGCTATCGATGGCCACTTGCCATAACCACATATTTCCTCTAGGATCAGAGTCAGTGTGCTTAATACCAGTTGCTGGGGAGGTGCTGTTCTGCTCATGCACGTTTTGTCTGCTTTGCACAGGCAGTTGGCCACTGTGGGAACAGAAAATTGCACTAAATAAGCTTTCAATGTAATCCAGCAGAGCTCTTTATTACAACCAACCACACCTTGGGTGCTTCCACTTGTGAATCAGGCACTTCTCATTGCAAATATGCTAGGGTAGTTTAAAAGGGTGTTGACTAATATGCATTAGGTGGTTTTTACTATGCAGCTTTCAACACAAATTTCACTTGCAGGAGATAAAAGAAAGCACACAGGAACATGGACACAGCAACAAAAATACTTACCGCTTTTTTAGAACTCGCATTCATCCAGCCTCCTTTTTTCAGTAATAGAAATAATAAAGAACATACTTCATTTTCGGGAGCCCCCACTGGCAAAACTGAATTTACATTCCCTTTGTCAACAAACTGGATTTTTGTAGAAATTGACTGGTGGGAGGTTTGAGTCAGATTTTTATCTGTATTTGTATTATATTTATTTGTGTGAGCTGTCCAGAGGCTATATAGCAAGGGGATGGCATACAAAAACTTTTAAAAATAAATAAATAAATAAATAAATAAATAAATAAATGGGAAGAATTCTGCATACAACACACAGTTAAATTTCAAACTGTGCTACAAGATACGGTTCTACCTGCCAATTTGGATGGCTTTAAAGAAGAAATGGACAAATTTGTGAAGGAAAGGTGTCCATCTGGGATTATGGTCTGAGATATGAGCAGGAGGCACTGCATTGCAGCTGAGTCACTCCTACTAGTTCTAGGAAGTGGAGCTTAGCTAGTATTGCTTGGCCCTATACATTCAGTATGAGGTGGAACAAGTGCCAGTTTCACCCCACTTGCTATTTAAGACCTATATGAAACCACTGAATGGAGTCAATTTGAGGTTAGCACTTTGCACAATAATCCTGGAAATAAGTGGACACATTTCTGCATTTGGACAGGTCAGTGGAACTCCCTTCTGGGATCTCTGCAAACCTGCCCCATTCCTGGAACAATCTTCACTCATGTCTGGTTGCCCCCAGTTGCTACATAGTGCTATTCAGTAATATTAATTTAATGTTTGGTAAGTGTTGCTCATATGACCCAGGGAAATGAGCAACATAGGCCAGTCACAGGCTCTCAGCACAGCCCACCTCACAAGGTTGTTGTGGGATGAGGGGAAGAAAAAAATTATGTAAGCCAGTATGAGTTATTTATAAGAAAAAGACAGGATATAGAATCACAGAATAGTAGAGTTGGAAGTGGCCAGAGGGCCATTGGGTCCAACTCCCTGCTTAGCTCAGGACTCCAAATTAAACCATTCCTCTCATTTGATTGTCAGTTGTATCTTTTTTTTTTCCTTCGATTTATATCCTGCCTTTTACCTACAAAGGGCTCAAGGCAGCTTACATCATTCTCCTCCTCTTATCCCCACAACAGCAACCCTGTGAGGTAGGCTGGGCTGAGAGTCTGTGACTGGCCCAAAGTCACCCAGTTGGCTCCATGGCTGAGCGGGGACTCGAACCCAGATCACCTGAGTCCCAGTCCCATGCTCTTAACCACTACGCCACACTGGCTCTCTTAATGCCATTAGTGTGGGAGAACGCACAACTTTCCTTGTAATTTGTTCCATTCTTGTATTGCTTTAACAGCCAGTTTTTTCCTGATACTAGTTAGAATTCGGCTTGCTGTGACTTGAGCCCATTATTCTGCGTACTGCTCTCCACAATGATCAAGAGATCCTGTCCTTACTCTTTATGACAGCCTTTCTTGGACTTGTAGAGTGCTATCATATCTCTCCTGAGTCTTTTCTTCTCAAGGTTAAATATGTGCAGTTCTTTCGATCTCTCTTCATGGGGATTTGTTTCCAGTCCCTGGATCATCCTTTTTGTCCTCCTCTGAACCCTTTCTAGCTTGTCTGCATTTTTCTTATACTCTAGTGCCCAGAACTGGACACAGTAGATCAGGCCTAACCAGTGCTGAGTAAAGGGAAACAAGTATTTCATGGGATTTGGAAGTTATACTTCTATTAACGCAGCCTAAAATAGCATTTGCCCTTTTTGCAGCCACATCACTTTGTTGACTCACATTCACTCTTTTTTTGAAGAGGGACATTAGCCCTTGTCATCTGGCACTTCCCTTGTCCTCCACGGTTTCTCAATAGACAGTGTTTCTGAGAGTTCTTCTGCCAGCTTCTTTATGACTCTAGGATGGAGTTCATCGGGCCCTGGAGATTTGAACTCATGCAACCTGATTAGATGATGCTTGACCAATTGCTTATCAACCTTGAGTTGCCATCCTGCTGCTTCTGCTTGTACTTCCCCTTCGTCAGTAAAGTCATAGATTTTCTTTTGGGAAAAGACTGAGCCAAAAAGTTACTGAGTACTTATGCCTTTTCTGTGTCATCTGTTATTTTGCCATCCACATTGAGCAGTTGTACTCCTACTTATTTCCTCTTTTACTTTGGGCTTACCAGAAGGCTTTTTTTGTTGCTTTTGGCATTCCTTGCTAGCCTCAGATCATTCCTAGCTTTAGCTTTCCTAACTACCTTCCCTGCAATTCAATGCTACATGTCTGTATTCTTCCTTTGTAGCCTGGCCTTCCTTCCACTTCCTACACATGTCCTTTTTGTTTTTAGATTATCTCTAAACTTTTTGTGAAGGCACATAGGCTTATATTGTTGTCTTCTCTTCCTTTTCCTTGTGGGAAATGATTGAAATTGTGCCTTTAGAATGTTCTTAAAAAAATTACCACCCATCTTGGATGCCTTATTAGAGTCAGTTCCCATGGGTCTGGTCTTAGCATTGTTCCAAGTTTATTAAAATGGGATTTTCTGAAAGCCAGGAAACATGTTTGGCTACATTTGGCTTTTGCTTCCTTTAGAATCCAGAATTCAAGCATGGTAAGGTCACTTTCTCCCAGATTTCCTGTAGCTGCCACTTTGTCCACTAGATCATCCCTGTTGGTTAGCATAGTATAGCCATTCCTTTCATTCCTTCCTCCTATTTGTTGGAGGAAGTCATCAGCAACACGTATTAGGATTCTCTTGGAGGGGCCATGTTTGGCAGAAATCTAAATCTAATTAATATATAAATCTAATTTAATAAAGTTATATATAAATCTAAAGCTAATTAATAAACAGTGAGGTGAGAATATTATTACATTGTGTTTATATTCTGCCTATTTCCTCTTGCAAGAAACACTGGCACCACTTTCAAAAGGTACTATATACTATGCTCTCCACCCTTAAGTAATTTATCATTTGGCAGAGGATTAAGCTTGTCAACAATGGCAATTTTTGTGTAACAACATTCAAGTTTCTAGTCCTTATGTACACAAATGTGTGCATGACTTGCCAAGAGTAACAGCTGTAACAGACTAAAAATGTAAAGTGTATTTGTACCCTGTAAGAATTCTTTAACTGCTCCACAGGCGAGGCAGAAACATAACTGCAAACCAGGAAGAAAACACACACCTTTGCTTAGCTTGGATAAATGTCACAGCACTGAATTGTTCTTAGGCAAGAATCTGGATCCCCTTGGCAGATACTTGGTTCTGTTGGGTGATTTCATTCTACAACTACACAGAATTCTGGTCATGTTTTATATTCCTCTATCTTCATGTTTGGCTTTATGTCTTTAGTGACTTGATTCAATAACTAGATCTCAGGTTTGTTAGGTTGTTTAATGACATGGACAATTTGCACAAAAGATTAAAGCCACGCTTTTTCACTGGTGGAAATACTATGGTGTTTAGGGGAAATGGCTCTTTAAATTTAAGCAGACAGTGTCATATTTTTCAATGTTTTAATGGGTAGTCTTTTGCAAGTTTACCTACCCATTATGTGTTCCCTGTAAAAATCCTATCAGTTTCATTTGGTCAACACATTAATTCTTTAAACCCAGCAGAGCTATGGTCTGCACTTGTCAATTTCATTCATTTAAACACTTGTTTGTTTAAAGGAAAGCTGCTTCATGTTACGACCACACTTACTCTTAAAGCACCTTTCCAGAACAGTGTGCATGATTGCTAAATAGATTAAAATGCCATGCTAAAGTAGCCATCAAGGGAAGGGGAATTACTGAAGTAACACAGCAAAGCAGTAACACAGAGGTAACAAGGATGATCTCAGAAACTCCCCCTTGGCAGTATCATCCTATGGCTAAGTATGTTTTCAACTGTCACTAGACAGTTCCAAGTGCACAAGATCCAACACCTTCCAAATAAAACTAGAGACCAGATCTAGAGTCCACAGTACCTTCCCAAGGTTGTTTCTTTAGGTTTTATTCACAAGGTCAAATGCATCAACAAAGTATGTGAAAGTATAACAAACAACAGTAAAGGTAGCAAAAGACAGCTGGAAATTTCCCCCAACCTTTAACAGTACAGGACCATAGCTATAGAAAATTGCTATGACACTGCCTTTAATTAGTCATCACTTACCAACCCACCTTTACCCTTAGTTAAAATACGTTTTCATGTGCATTGATTTGGTAAGCATTCTGAGATTTAAAACAAAACAAAACCGTAATGTTTTTGTGCATTAACAAGTTAACACACAATTAAAACAAACAAAATTAATAATTAAAAAAACACCAGAAAACAACTTTCATAAGGTAACACAGACTGGAGCATTTACAATTTGATGCACAAAAAATATAAGCAACACAGGCTAAGTCTCCATATGATGGCTGCTTTAGTCATGGAAACTATTTCTTTATTGGCTTAGAACGCCAATGTTTTTTTCTCCATTCCGCAGCAAAGTTTGGGGGAAGGCTGGAAATGACCCAGAAAAACTTCTGGATGTGGTTGGACAATTTTTAAAAAATCCATGTGATGGTTGGTGTGCAGGTGTGCACAGGCAGGCACTTGTGTGCGCATGCACCAGCTCACCCATTCCCCATTTTTCAGAAGCAATCATTTGATCTATACAGTGCAAAGTCTCTGAGGTTTATTAGGCTAGTGCTAATCTGCCGCCTTGGTTTTAAATTGCACCTTATTGGGCGGCAACCTATGTAGTTTTCAGCTACATTCCCTCTTCTGGAGAGCAGAGAAACCATGTGGTTAAGCTTGGACTGAATGACAGAGTAGTGGATATCCCTTTCTTGGCTTAGTTTGCGGAAATACTCTCCCCGGTGGTTGGGAGAGTAGTCCATAGACCTAAGGGATGTCAGTGAGCCAGCAGAACTTGCCCGAGAGCACTGGGAGGACAGTGAAGAAAGTGACCGTGCACTAGAAGACGTTGAGGTGGACTTTCTAGAAATAGGAGATCCTTCCTTAGAGGGCATTCTCTGGTTGGGTATCCTCTGGTCAGGAATCTTCTGGTGCTGGACCACATCTGGAACCTCCCTATTACCTGTCTGTGTGGCAGCAGATTTCAGCACAACTGCTGTCTGAGTGCCCGCCATTCTGGATCGAGTAGTGGTTTGGGTGGTGGCTGTTGCCACTGAAATACTGGTTTGTGTAGCACAGTTAAAGAGCGTAACGCTGGGCTTCTCCTCTTCTAGTGTTTCAGTCTGAGTTGATTGGCTCTTGGACTCCTGAGCCTTTGCCAAAAATTCAGGACCATCATGCCACTGTTCCTCACCACTAAGGTGAGGGCGTTTTACACTCACCCGGCCTTCTTGGAGCTCTCTAGCCCGTTCTATTTCTCTCTCGAGCTTTTTGGGGGTGCTTGACAGCCGGGCAAACTCAGCTCTCAGGAGGTTACTTTGAGTGAAGTCTTTGCAAGGCGTTTGGCTGGCTGGCTGCTCCTGAGCAGCACTGTTCCTGCAGCTTGATGACAGCCTTGTGTTCACAGGCTTTGAGTCTGCATAAAGTATTCTGAACTCCAGATCAAAGTGCTCAACTACCTGGCCTGAGAGTAGCAACAAGTTGCTGCTGTTGAGCTTCCCATCAGTCCATGTGAAGCTAGAAAGGAGGGTAGGGGGAGAGGGGAAAAGTACTTTACTATGCACTCAAACCAGAGCATGGATCATGATAAATATCCTTCTTTCTAAATGCTTTTTAAATGATCTTATTTATTCCTATGTATTACAAAGTAGTCATTTTCATTTCTCTGATTTCAGAATGAGTCTGGGAAAATGACTCACCTGGGAACATCTAATGAGCCCATGAATGAACACAAATCTGAATATACACCCATCTTTCTGTTCTCTTCAATGTTTCAAGCTAATTAAGTAGCTGCAACTGCTACTCTTTTTAATGCACATCCATCTTACACAAGGTGGCAAGCTACAAGAAATTGCTGACTTTTATACTTAGAATAATGGGAGAACAGTCATGTTTATTCATTTCTTTGTTTCATTAAATGCTTGGTTCAGCCTGAAATCTGTTTTGCACCTTGCACAGCATTATCTAATTGGCTCTATTTAACACTAGCATTCATAAACTTTTCAGCCCTGTGCACCACATCTGGACTGAGCTGGAGGGCCCAAAGCTGCAAATGTGGACACACTCATGCAGTTCTGACCCAATAAGCATACAAAGTACAGCTCAATTCTATGTATGTCTACTCAGAAGAAAACCCCAGTACAACTAGTTTCAGCTATGCAAAATATACCCCTATATCTGTTTTCACTGAACACTTCCCAATACCTTTAAAATGTTAAAGTATTTAAAGCACAGGATATTTAAAGTTCAGCTGCTTTTAAACAGCTTGTAGGTAAGAATGTGGTTTCCCTACTTAGCACCCCAAAACGTGCCACATGATTCCAATCTGGATGGTTGTCCCAAGGCTGCTAAAAACAGCGGTCTATTCCCCCCTAGGACAAAGTAGGTGGGACTGCACAGCCTGGAGGCCAAATATGTCTTGGAGGTTTAGCACTCCTGCTAGAACAGCTCCTCCTCTCCACCTGAAGACAACTACAAATTACAGAACTTTGACCTTTTCTATCCCTGCATCACCTGTTTTGCTTAAAATAAGCCCAAAGAAGAGTTCTGGAGAACTTGAAAGCTTGCCCACTACTTTGGGATGCTGTAGTTATCAATATTAACCTACTGATGCCTGGCAAGGTCATTCCTAAATGTCAGCCATTAAATGCTCATGTATTGATATACAATTAAAAGGCTACATTGTGGAGTTCCCCCCATCAGCTAATTCATGCAACTTCATCGAGAGTGCATCTTAGTGAAGAAGGAAGATGATTCCTTCTCTAGATCAAGTTGCATAAATAATGATCTAATGGTACACTGAACTTCAGAATACCTTGTGGCATGTTTTGTCCAAGAAACTGTTTCATCCAAGAAATGAGCACAGAGTTGAGATAACTAGAGTGATATATGGCCTGAGCATCTGTTATTCGATTAAAAGTATTAGTGAAAGGAGGAAGGGGTCTGCCCTAACACCCAGAAATGTAGGCAGGGATAGAAAGGGGAATATTTGGGAGACACACATGAAGCAAGACATTGTTTGGAAATGATACTTCGAGGCAAAAGGTACAGTTACCTAGACCTGCATATATGTGCTTAAGCCTAAATCTATCTTCTTCCCCAGTAAACCTGATCTTCCCCCAAAAACTCCCCCAATAATAGGCAGGATTCTTGTAAATGAATGGAGCTGTACTGCTCTGCTTTCATCTCTGTCATAAGTCATAAATGACACAATGGTATAATTACAGTGCCAACCAGTGTGCTTTAGTATGAGCAGTGCTAGAACTCCAGTGGGACTGTGTTTCTTTGTGAATAAGATCGTTTATAACAGGCGTGGGGAACCTTCAGCCCACAGTCCATCTGCTGGCCCAGGACCTCTTCTGGAAAGAAACTACAAGACAGAAGTTGGAGGCTGAGAATGTATGACTCTCTGTGCAATACACTCTCTCAAGAACTACAATTCTGAAAGTTTCTGCTGACTCCTCTTTTGCTAGGGCCAAGTGAGTGGACAGCTGGCATGAAGACAAACATCCATATTTGCCCAGTCGCTACATCCATATTTGCCCAGTCGCCCCCTGAGATCGGCGGGAGAGGCCCTTCTCCGGGAGCCCTCCGTGAGAGAAATTAGGAGGGTGGTTACTCGGAGAAGGGCTTTCTCAGCGGTGGCGCCTAAGTTATGGAATGCGCTCCCCAGC